ACTGATATTTTAATGTCAATGGTACTTAATAGCATTAATTAGAATTTGCGGACTGTATTTGTTCTATTTCATTTAATTGCCACCGAATGGACGTCAATGATTTCTCCAAAGTTATACATAGCTACGTTATCCTTCTAGAAAGATTTTGATGTTATCGAGGTCAATAAATTTGTTTGATATACAATTTTATTTTACCTATTTTAACTTCTTCTAGAAACGAAGGCAACAAGTCTACCAGAAATCGTGTATCATTTGAGTTCTTATGTCAAGTTGATAGGGGTAGTTTTGCGTTAAGTCTCCACGTTAGATGTTTGTTTCAATTAAGATTATTCTAGAATCGAAAGTTTTAAGTTTTAAAAAAAAAAGGATGAACTGCATCCTTGTCGACCCCCACCTGCCATGTCCTGCCCTGCCATGGGTCTTGGTGAATGAGGTAAATTGTAGGTTATGCCTCCAAGAGTATAGGGTGGAAGACTGCTTATACACTTGCACTTACCAAATGGTCAAATCCATATTTTAGGATTCGAACCCTTGACGTGGCAGCTTCAAGCAAAATTGAGATTTTTTCACCTTCTTCTTTTACGACCTTGAGATGTGCCCTGTGGGCGAATCGAAAGTTTAAGTAAGTAGTGCTTTTCGGTACTTATGAATCGTGGGTCCGTAGAAAGTGAGACTCTTAAGAATATTATATTTTAAATTTTACGAATGCGTGTGTTAAAAGTATATTTGACTGAAATACGGAAAGACATAAGAATACACCTATTTGTCACACCTATATTATCTAATCTTGTGCATAAACATGATCATGGACTGTTTCATTACCTAACAAGGTAGGTAAGCCTATTAATGCTTTTAGGTTACTCAATTCAATCATTCAGGTGAGACGACATTGGAGGGAGACATTTTATCATTGCTAAAGTAATAACTCGAACAAAGATTGCTTGGTCACATAAATGAGAATCAGTATTAACTAAGAGAAATCTTTGTGAACTCGTGATCCTTGAGCAAAAATAAATTTCGGAAAAGGATATCTAGGTTCTAATTTTCTAAATTCGGTCATAAATAAGTTGGTGACGAAGTACAGATTCAAGTGATACTACATAAATTAGTCCTCCATGTTGAAGGGTTTACGAAAGATAAAAAATCAATTGAAACAATCAAATTCCCTGTAACCTGAATATGCCCATATTTTTCATAAGAGTAATATTATTTGTATATCATGATTTACATATTGATGTACAGAATGAAGACATGAAAGAAAGGGAAAGGGAAAAAAAAATGGAGGAAAAAGGAAATAAGTAAGAAATCAGTTAATATAATCCACATCATGATATACAAATAGTATTATTCTTTCCACAAACATATTTCTTACATCCAAACAATGTTCTAAAAGGCGTAATGCTTGGCGATGCGTGGAAGCCAAGTCCAGGGCTAGGCGAGACATATGCGTAAAAATGCGTTTTCTTTATTTTAATATTATTTTAATTTTGAATCAATTAAAAATAATACTTACTAAACATTTAAAACGGATTTATAGGAACTTTAT